ATGCTGCTACGTGCAGTAACACCCGAAGAGTGGTCATCTTTGGGGTAGGTGCGAAGGTCTGAAAGAAGTCAACTCCCTCGCGCTGACTGAAACCTCTAGCCGCGTAGCGCGCCTTGAAGACCGGAGGAGATCCCGGTGGCCGCTTCACCCTATAGATCCACATGCCATCGACTACGTTCGCCCCAGGGGGGGGGGACTTCGTCGACGTAGGTGCCTGTGGATCTGTAGGAGGTCATCTCTGCGTCCATGGCAGCTCTCCACTAAGAGGCCCAAGGCCTTGACACTGCCTCAGCGTACGTGCGAGGAGCCGGTATGTCAACGGCGTCGGGGTCTCCCTTAGGGGCGAGCAGCATGGCACAGAGATGTGGGGAAGCGGCTGCCAGGAACTGTAGCTCAAACTGCCTGTCCTCTAGGGCGTCACAGCCAAGGGCAGACTCACCCCCGACGGCCAGAGGACTGGTAGGAGGAGCAACCACAAGACTGGTGGCGTAGTCAAGGCGCCGGGTAGAGGCAAACTCAGTGACTGCAGAAGTAAGGGCGGAGACAGAGGAGACTGAGGCACGAGGGTCGGTAACAAGAGAGGCGAGAACACGAGAGAGAACAGGACGGTACGTGCGGTAGTAGTCAGTGACAGGTTTAGAGAGAGAAGCAGTGAGGGCCGACTCAGGAGGAGACGTAAGGAGAGACGGAGACGAACGAGGCGGACTAGAACGAAAGAGGGCAGTATAAAGGTCAGGAACGAGAACAGGAGACGAGGGAGGAGCACGAGGGGAGCAACGAGAGGCCCAAGTCTGAGAAGGAGGAGGGGACAACGGAGGCTGAGAACGAGGGAAAACAGCCGGGGAGGGGTCAGGAGGAGGAAGCGGAGGACTAGAGACGGGAGGAGAGGGGGAGGAGGAAGGAGAGCAAGAGGGGGGACCGAGGGCCCGAAGACCAGAGACAGGAGGAGGAGGCGGCGGCTGCTGCTGCTGCGGCAGCGGCTGCTGCTCCTCCTGCTGCTGCAGCGGCTCCAGCTGCTGCGCCTCCTGCTGCTGCGGCGGCTCCAGCTACGGCTGCTGCTGCTGCTCCTGCTGATGCTGCCGCTCCTCCAGCCGCTGCTACTCTCTCTCCTCTCTCTCCAACTCCAGCTGCTCCCCACGGGCACGGCGAACACGAGCCTGGTGCCAGGTCGGGTAGGGGTGGGGGGGAGGAGTAGTGTCCGGGGCTGCGGCAGCCCCGGGACCGCCCTCCAAAGCACCTGACGCACCACCCCCAGAGTCAGCACCACCAACAGCAACACGACCAGGCTCACCAGGACCCGAAGGGGGTGCACCCGCACCCCTAGACGTAGCACCCCCAAAGTCAGCAGGACCAACACTAGCTCCCGGAAGACAAGAGTCTCCTGCAACCACGGGCTCAGCTCCAACTCCAACACCCCCAGAACCAGAAACCGGCACAGGGACGCTCTCAGCACCAACTCCAACTCCTCTAGAGCTAGCACCCGCAGGGCCCTCTCCACGAGCACCGGCTCCCGCAGGGTCTGCAGCAGGCTGCGAGGAGGACTGCGGGGAAGGAGGCTACACCTGAGGGGCTACTGAGGGGGAGGGGTAGCCTGGGACACACCTGACAGGGCGGGACCAGGGGGGGGGGGGGGGGGGGGGGGGGGGGGGGCTGTACCGGGGGAGCAGGAGGGGGAGCGGAAGTTAGTAAGAGAGGGGGAGGAGGAACCAGGAGACCTCGACTGGGGTACCTGACGTAGTAGGGGGTGGGCTCCTCGAAACGGACGTCACGGGAGTCAAAGAACCGGTGAGAGGGAGGGTGGTAAAAGGTGAAGTCAGAGGAGTCCTCAGGGAAACCAAGGAAGACACAGGGAACGGCGCTAGGCGAGAGCTTGTCCGCGGAAGTGTCGCGCACAAGAGCCAAGCAACCCCAGACACGAAACCTCGACGCAACACCAGGAGACCCGGTCCAAAGACTGGTCGGCGAAGCCTCTGGCCGAGAGACGCGTGGCCAGAGGTTCAGCGGGTAAGCGGCGTACCTAACCGCGTAGGGCCACAGAAAATGGGGGGCACGGGCGTGAGTCAAGGAGGTGCGGGCGATCTCCATGACCAAGCCTATGCGGCAGTCAGCAACCCCATTCTGCTGTGGGGACTCTGGAAGCGTCCAGGACTGACAAATGCCCTGCTCGCGACATAATCCAGCGAGAATGCCGGAGCGAAACTCACCCCCACGGTCAGAGTGAAGACAGCTGACACGATGACCACGAGTGTCCTCTGTGGTAAGCAACCACCTTATCAGCGTAGAAGTCAACTCAGACTTCTTCGCCAGGGGGAACACTGTGGTGAAGCGGGAGTAGTCGTAACGACCACCAGAAAGAAACGCTCACGCTCAGGGCCAAGGCGAGGGGCGGGGCCCCAGACGTCCAAGTGGATCGTCTCAAAAGGCTCAGTGGCCGGAAGAAGGGAGGAATGAGGGGTGGCGCGCAGCCGACCCTCGACGCAGGGACCGCACGGCGGTGCAAGAGAAGGCGGCAGCGACGGCAAGACACGCGGGAGGCCTAAGGCAAGACTCTGACGAGACATAGCGCGCAGACGAGGGAGGGATGGGCGCCCCATCCGGTGGTGCCACAGAACGGTGGGGTGTGCAAGGGACCGGCAGGAGCACGACGCAGCAACTGGACCAGACATGGGAACCAGACCAGACACAGCTACCTGGGGGGACGCATCAACCTGGTGAGACGCAGGGACCAGACTAGGGGAAGTAACCGGGGCCGAGGGCAGGAGTCGCTGCTGCTGCTGCTGCTGCTGCCGCTGCTGCTGCGGGGGCTGCTGCAAGGGGAGGGGTTGCTGCTGCTGCCACTGGGCCAGGTACCACGCCGCTGCTCTACCCACCATGGCCGGCAGACCAGGAGGAGGCTGACGAGTCCGGGTGTCGCCTCCACCAGCTGCAGTAGGGGAGTCACTGGCCTGCACGAGACGTCTCTCTAGGCCCTGCGCTCCTGCCGCCACCGGTCGGCACGCCACCCCCACCACCTCCGCCGCCAACGCCGCCACCGCCGCCGCCGCCTGCACCCTGACCGCCCCTACCTCGAGACCGCGACGGAGTGGTAATAGCAGCTGCGGTCACGTCAGTAGTGGCAGTGGCTAGTGAGGCATAAAAGTGGGCAACTGAGGGACAGTGCACCCGTGAAACAGCGGAGGGGGCACAACACCAGAGGCGGAGGCTATGGAGCGGAGGTTGCTCTCGATGTCCTTGAGCGCAGACTCAAGGACCTCGATAGTGAGCTAACTAGGGTGCTTCAGAAGAAGCGTGTCACGAACTGAGGCAAGGCGGTCAGGGAGGCTAGTGGCAATGAAGTAGATAGTAATCGCCATGGGAGGGGGAAGCACTACAAGCTGTGCGTCAGTGCAAGCAGCGCGGTAGCTAGAATCGAGCGAGCGGAGGTGAGCAATCAGGTCAGCAGAGCGCTCAAACGAGGCGAGGCCAGGGAACAAGAACGGTAGGAAGAGGAGGTCAAGAGAGACAGTGGTGGGAGTAGCGTAGTGGGCCTTGATCGCAGTCAGGAGCTCACTAGTAATGCGAACCTGAGTGAAGTGGGCCTCCTCAGACTCAGGGAGGAGGCCGCTAAGAGCGATGCAGGCCGCATCGTCACGCGACTTCCACGCCGTCAGGTCAGCACGCTGGCGGGTAAAGCGGTCTCTGGCGGCGTCGTCAGGGGCAGGGCCTAAAGGCGTAGGGTCGTCGAGCGCAGGAAGGGCACCAGTAGCGTGCGCCCAGAGGGACTCGCCCGCCTGGACCTGACTCTCTTTTAGGCGACGTGCGCGTAGGAGCCAGACCGGAAACTCGAGCGGTCTACCGTCAGCGTCAAAGCGAAGAACCCTAGGGGTCGCCATAGCGTAAGCGGAAACGACAAGTCCGGCGGCGGGCGGCACTGGTAGGGCGGCTAGGGCAAGTCCGTGGCAGGTGCAAAACGCAGGCGTGACTGGCGCAAGGGGTGGTCCCGCGGTGGACTGAACGGGTTGGCGCAGCAGTGTGAAGGGAGGGCCTAACAAGCGAGCCCGCAGCGGGCCTAACGAGGAGGCACGGCGGCTGAAAGGGAGGGCCCATGGCGGCTATAAGGGAGGGTCCGCGGCGGGCAGTACGGGCAGGCGCAGCGGCGGGACGAGCGAGCTCACAGCGGCCTAACTAGGAGGCGCGACGGCGGGCAGCGGGGGGGGGGGGGGGGGGGGGGGGGGCGCTACGCTACGGGGAAAGTGGGTCGGCGGAACGGGCGGTAACGAACGAACGGGACTAGGCTCGGGCAAGACGGGCACAACTAGTACGCCAGAGTGAGACAGGCTCGGGCGAGACGAACGAGGACGGGAGGAGCAGGATCCCACAGGATCCTAACCTAGGTGATACCATAGAATTGTGTGTTTCATTGATGTGGGTTGGGGTACATATAACAAACCCTAACACCTGTACCCCCTAAGACAAACCTCACTAAAGGCGACAACATTTGACAATACCTACCGTACTTGTGTGTATGAGCCCCCTAGGGGCGTCTACCTGGTCGATCACGGTAATCTTGCGTAACATATTGTACAGTGAATGTACACATCATAGGTATGCACAAAGGTGCTGTATCCCGATGAATAAAGAAAGAACCAATTAGACGGAATAGGGTATGAGCAACTGCAAGCTGGGGCAAAGAGCACCACTCTAAAGCTCTGAGAACGCCACATCCATACAGTCAACGAGGAAGTCTGTGAGGGTAGGGGGCAGGAAAAAAAAAAAAAAAGAGATAACCTGAAGAAATGAATCTAATACGATGTGCATGGAAAGGGTTCCATACTGGAAGCCAACTGACCCATTGTGAAACACCTCATAGGTGCTGATAATAGAGAGTGAGACACGCATGATGTGCACTCCCCTTGCCATTCTCGCTCTCCCCCTGCCATCTTGCTTCCCCCCTGCCATCTTGCTTCCCCCCTGCCATCGCACTCTCCCCCTGCCATCACACCCTCCCCCTGCCATCACACTCACCCCCTGCCATCATACCCTCCTCCCATCAGGTGCATGGTTTGCATGAGGTGCGTACCAGCATCGGCCGTGGTGAAGCACATGGGTGGCTTGATGCGGAACACATTCCCGTAGTGCCCTCCCTTGCCCACTAGCACGCCCAGATCTGCCGCACATGGGATACGGCAGGAGGACACATGCGGGAGAGGCAGCGCATGGGGCAGAGGCAGTGCATGGGGTAGAGGCAGTGCATGGGGTAGAGGCAGTGCATGGGGGGCAGTGGAGAATTCCTTGGCAGGGCAGCAAGACACCGCACAAACAGTATCCTCCCCTGCCCAGCCATCCTGCCCAGCCATCCTGCCCAGCAGCCGTACCCACCAGGCCTGCCCAGCAGCACAGGGATGGCGCACAGGCTTGTGAGAATTGCCTCAAGGCATCCCTTTGAAACGGGTCTGACAAGCACGCAGAGCTGTCCCTTGCCCTCCACCCTCCACCCTGGGTTGTCAACTGTTACCATCTCACTCGCTCATCCCTACCCTGAAACAAAACGGCCCCAAACTAATGGCTACCAGACCCACCTCAATCCGAGCCACCACCATCAGGTCTCACCTTTAAGCCGCTCGAAGGACTGAAGTGTCTCGGCCTTGGCGGGGGTCTTGGCCGCCCGGTCTGTGACCAGCTCCACCCCCAGCATCAGCCCCGCACCTCTCACGTCGCCAATCACTGTTGTGTGGCATGGAGGGAGCGAGTGGAAGGGTGCAGGGCGGAAAACAGAAGGCCAAACAGGCGGGGGTTAGCGAGGAACAGAAGGCCAAACAGGCGGGGGTTAGCGAGGAACAGAAGGCCAAACAGGCGGGGGTTAACGAGGAACAGAAGGCCAAACAGGCGGGGGTTAGCGAGGAACCAGCTCCACTCCACCCCCACTCCAGCTCCACTCCACCCCCACTCCAGCTCCACTCCACCCCCACTCCAGCTCCACTCCACCCCCACTCCACCCCCACTCCAGCTCCACTCCACCCCCACTCCAGCCCCACTCCACCCCCACTCCAGCCCCACTCCAGCCCCACTCCAGCTCCACTCCACCCCCACTCCAGCTCCACTCCAGCCCCACTCCACCCCCACTCCAGCTCCACTCCAGCCCCACTCCAGCTCCACTCCAGCCCCACTCCAGCCCCACTCCAGCTCCACTCCAGCCCCACTCCAGCCCCACTCCAGCCCCACTCCAGCCCCACTCCAGCCCACTCCAGCTCCACTCCACCCCCACTCCAGCTCCACTCCACCCCCACTCCAGCTCCACTCCACCCCCACTCCAGCTCCACTCCAGCCCCACTCCAGCTCCGCTCCAGCCCCACTCCAGCTCCACTCCAGCTCCACTCCAGCCCCACTCCGCACCCTCACGTCCCCAATCCCTGTTGGTCGATGGCACGACATGAGTGAGGTTGGGGGAAGGCTCGAGAGGACGACAAGGGAGAGAACGAGCTGTGACCAACTCCACTGCCAAAACGCACAAAAGCAGTGGACCGCAAGTATCTAAGCAGTGGCTCGCAAGTATCCAAGCAGTGGCTCGCAAGTATCCAATCAGTGGACCGCAAGTATCCAAGCAGTGGACCGCAAGTATCCAAGCAGTGGACCGCAAGTATCCAAGCAGTGGACCGCAAGTATCCAAGCAGTGGACCGCAAGTATCCAAGCAGTGGACCGCAAGTATCCAAGCAGTGGACCGCAAGTATCCAAGCAGTGGACCGCAAGTATCCAAGCAGTGGACCGCAAGTATCCAAGCAGTGGACGGCAAGTATCCAAGCAGTGGACCGCAAGTATCCAAGCAGTGGACCGCAAGTATCCAAGCAGTGGACCGCAAGTATCCAAGCAGTGGACCGCAAGTATCCAAGCAGTGGACCGCAAGTATCCAAGCAGTGGACCGCAAGTATCCAAGCAGTGGACCGCAAGAATCCAAGCAGTGGACCGCAAGTATCCAAGCAGTGGACCGCAAGTATCCAAGCAGTGGACCGCAAGTATCCAAGCAGTGGACCGCAAGTATCCAAGCAGTGGACCGCAAGTATCCAAGCAGTGGACCGCAAGTATCCAAGCAGTGGACCGCAAGTATCCAAGCAGTGGACCGCAAGAATCCAAGCAGTGGACCGCAAGTATCCAAGCAGTGGACCGCAAGTATCCAAGCAGTGGCCCGCAAGTATCCAAGCAGTGGACCGCAAGTATCCAAGCAGTGGACGGCAAGTATCCAAGCAGTGGACCGCAAGTATCCAAGCAGTGGACCGCAAGTATCCAAGCAGTGGACCGCAAGTATCCAAGCAGTGGCCCGCAAGTATCCAAGCAGTGGACCGCAAGTATCCAAGCAGTGGCCCGCAAGTATCCAAGCAGTGGCCCGCAAGTATCCAAGCAGTGGACCGCAAGTATCCAAGCAGTGGACCGCAAGTATCCAAGCAGTGGACCGCAAGTATCCAAGCAGTGGACCGCAAGTATCCAAGCAGTGGACCGCAAGTATCCAAGCAGTGGCCCGCAAGTATCCAAGCAGTGGACGGCAAGTATCCAAGCAGTGGACCGCAAGTATCCAAGCAGTGGCCCGCAAGTATCCAAGCAGTGGACCGCAAGTATCCAAGCAGTGGACCGCAAGTATCCAAGCAGTGGACCGCACGTATCCAAGCAGTGGACCGCAAGTATCCAAGCAGTGGACCGGCAAGTATCCAAGCAGTGGACCGCAAGTATCCAAGCAGTGGACCGCAAGTATCCAAGCAGTGGACCGCAAGTATCCAAGCAGTGGACCGCAAGTATCCAAGCAGTGGACCGCAAGTATCCAAGCAGTGGACCGCAAGTATCCAAGCAGTGGACCGCAAGTATCCAAGCAGTGGACCGCAAGTATCCAAGCAGTGGACCGCAAGTATCCAAGCAGTGGACCGCAAGTATCCAAGCAGTGGACCGCAAGTATCCAAGCAGTGGACCGCAAGTATCCAAGCAGTGGACCGCAAGTATCCAAGCAGTGGACCGCAAGTATCCAAGCAGTGGACCGCAAGTATCCAAGCAGTGGACCGCAAGTATCCAAGCAGTGGACCGCAAGTATCCAAGCAGTGGACCGCAAGTATCCAAGCAGTGGACCGCAAGTATCCAAGCAGTGGACCGCAAGTATCCAAGCAGTGGACCGCAAGTATCCAAGCAGTGGACCGCAAGTATCCAAGCAGTGGACCGCAAGTATCCAAGCAGTGGACCGCAAGTATCCAAGCAGTGGACCGCAAGTATCCAAGCAGTGGACCGCAAGTATCCAAGCAGTGGACCGCAAGTATCCAAGCAGTGGACCGCAAGTATCCAAGCAGTGGACCGCAAGTATCCAAGCAGTGGACCGCAAGTATCCAAGCAGTGGACCGCAAGTATCCAAGCAGTGGACCGCAAGTATCCAAGCAGTGGACCGCAAGTATCCAAGCAGTGGACCGCAAGTATCCAAGCAGTGGACCGCAAGTATCCAAGCAGTGGACCGGCAAGTATCCAAGCAGTGGACCGCAAGTATCCAAGCAGTGGACCGCAAGTATCCAAGCAGTGGACCGCAAGTATCCAAGCAGTGGACCGCAAGTATCCAAGCAGTGGACCGCAAGTATCCAAGCAGTGGACCGCAAGTATCCAAGCAGTGGACCGCAAGTATCCAAGCAGTGGACCGCAAGTATCCAAGCAGTGGACCGCAAGTATCCAAGCAGTGGACCGCAAGTATCCAAGCAGTGGACCGCAAGTATCCAAGCAGTGGACCGCAAGTATCCAAGCAGTGGACCGCAAGTATCCAAGCAGTGGACCGCAAGTATCCAAGCAGTGGACCGCAAGTATCCAAGCAGTGGACCGCAAGTATCCAAGCAGTGGACCGCAAGTATCCAAGCAGTGGACCGCAAGTATCCAAGCAGTGGACCGCAAGTATCCAAGCAGTGGACCGCAAGTATCCAAGCAGTGGACCGCAAGTATCCAAGCAGTGGACCGCAAGTATCCAAGCAGTGGACCGCAAGTATCCAAGCAGTGGACCGCAAGTATCCAAGCAGTGGACCGCAAGTATCCAAGCAGTGGACCGCAAGTATCCAAGCAGTGGCCTGCAAGTATCCAAGCAGTGGACCGCAAGTATCCAAGCAGTGGACCGCAAGTATCCAAGCAGTGGACCGCAAGTATCCAAGCAGTGGACCGCAAGTATCCAAGCAGTGGACCGCAAGTATCCAAGCAGTGGACCGCAAGTATCCAAGCAGTGGACCGCAAGTATCCAAGCAGTGGACCGCAAGTATCCAAGCAGTGGACCGCAAGTATCCAAGCAGTGGACCGCAAGTATCCAAGCAGTGGACCGCAAGTATCCAAGCAGTGGACCGCAAGTATCCAAGCAGTGGACCGCAAGTATCCAAGCAGTGGACCGCAAGTATCCAAGCAGTGGACCGCAAGTATCCAAGCAGTGGACCGCAAGTATCCAAGCAGTGGACCGCAAGTATCCAAGCAGTGGACCGCAAGTATCCAAGCAGTGGACCGCAAGTATCCAAGCAGTGGACCGCAAGTATCCAAGCAGTGGACCGCAAGTATCCAAGCAGTGGACCGCAAGTATCCAAGCAGTGGCCTGCAAGTATCCAAGCAGTGGACCGCAAGTATCCAAGCAGTGGACCGCAAGTATCCAAGCAGTGGACCGCAAGTATCCAAGCAGTGGACCGCAAGTATCCAAGCAGTGGACCGCAAGTATCCAAGCAGTGGACCGCAAGTATCCAAGCAGTGGACCGCAAGTATCCAAGCAGTGGACCGCAAGTATCCAAGCAGTGGACCGCAAGTATCCAAGCAGTGGACCGCAAGTATCCAAGCAGTGGACCGCAAGTATCCAAGCAGTGGACCGCAAGTATCCAAGCAGTGGACCGCAAGTATCCAAGCAGTGGACCGCAAGTATCCAAGCAGTGGACCGCAAGTATCCAAGCAGTGGACCGCAAGTATCCAAGCAGTGGACCGCAAGTATCCAAGCAGTGGACCGCAAGTATCCAAGCAGTGGACCGCAAGTATCCAAGCAGTGGACCGCAAGTATCCAAGCAGTGGACCGCAAGTATCCAAGCAGTGGACCGCAAGTATCCAAGCAGTGGACCGCAAGTATCCAAGCAGTGGACCGCAAGTATCCAAGCAGTGGACCGCAAGTATCCAAGCAGTGGACCGCAAGTATCCAAGCAGTGGACCGCAAGTATCCAAGCAGTGGACCGCAAGTATCCAAGCAGTGGACCGCAAGTATCCAAGCAGTGGACCGCAAGTATCCAAGCAGTGGACCGCAGAGATCCAAGCAGTGGACCGCAAGTATCCAAGCAGTGGACCGCAAGTATCCAAGCAGTGGACCGCAAGTATCCAAGCAGTGGACCGCAAGTATCCAAGCAGTGGACGGCAAGTATCCAAGCAGTGGACCGCAAGTATCCAAGCAGTGGACGGCAAGTATCCAAGCAGTGGACCGCAAGTATCCAAGCAGTGGACCGCAAGTATCCAAGCAGTGGACCGCAAGTATCCAAGCAGTGGACCGCAAGTATCCAAGCAGTGGACCGCAAGTATCCAAGCAGTGGACCGCAAGTATCCAAGCAGTGGACCGCAAGTATCCAAGCAGTGGACCGCAAGTATCCAAGCAGTGGACCGCAAGTATCCAAGCAGTGGACCGCAAGTATCCAAGCAGTGGCCCGCAAGTATCCAAGCAGTGGACCGGCAAGTATCCAAGCAGTGGACCGCAAGTATCCAAGCAGTGGACCGCAAGTATCCAAGCAGTGGACCGCAAGTATCCAAGCAGTGGACCGCAAGTATCCAAGCAGTGGACCGCAAGTATCCAAGCAGTGGACCGCAAGTATCCAAGCAGTGGACCGCAAGTATCCAAGCAGTGGACCGCAAGTATCCAAGCAGTGGACCGCAAGAATCCAAGCAGTGGACCGCAAGTATCCAAGCAGTGGACCGCAAGTATCCAAGCAGTGGACCGCAAGTATCCAAGCAGTGGACCGCAAGTATCCAAGCAGTGGACCGCAAGTATCCAAGCAGTGGACCGCAAGTATCCAAGCAGTGGACCGCAAGTATCCAAGCAGTGGACCGCAAGTATCCAAGCAGTGGACCGCAAGTATCCAAGCAGTGGACCGCAAGTATCCAAGCAGTGGCCCGCAAGTATCCAAGCAGTGGACCGCAAGTATCCAAGCAGTGGACCGCAAGTATCCAAGCAGTGGACCGCAAGTATCCAAGCAGTGGACCGCAAGTATCCAAGCAGTGGACCGCAAGTATCCAAGCAGTGGCCCGCAAGTATCCAAGCAGTGGACGGCAAGTATCCAAGCAGTGGACCGCAAGTATCCAAGCAGTGGCCCGCAAGTATCCAAGCAGTGGACCGCAAGTATCCAAGCAGTGGCCCGCAAGTATCCAAGCAGTGGACCGCAAGTATCCAAGCAGTGGACCGCAAGTATCCAAGCAGTGGACCGCAAGTATCCAAGCAGTGGACCGCAAGTATCCAAGCAGTGGACCGCAAGTATCCAAGCAGTGGACCGCAAGTATCCAAGCAGTGGACCGCAAGTATCCAAGCAGTGGACCGCAAGTATCCAAGCAGTGGCATGCCAGCAGTAATTCACTGCCAGGCCCGCTCCTTCCCCCACGTTTGATAGACTGCTGGCTTGGAACCAAGGGACAGGTGAACAGTTTTGAGCATGAAGGAGCATTCCAGCCAAGGTGGGAGTACATGGAGGCAGTGACCAGCCTAGAAACACATCCCTCACTCTCTGTCTCACATCACATCATATACCTCACATCATATACCTCACATCACATACCTCACTCTCTCACTCATTATCTCACTCATTCCGTCACCCATCCATCCTGCCAACTCACCCTCGTGTTTCCCCTTAAGTGCTTGAAGTTTCCCCAGCAGGTATCCCCCCACATGAGCGCAGTTCCCCTGCAGCCCCTCGTCCTCGATAATCTGCAGCACTGCCCGCCCGCCAGCACAGCTCACGGGGTTCCCTCCGAATGTGTTGAAGTGCAGCCGCTGCGCCATCACTGCTGCGATCTCCGGTGTGGTTACCACCGCTGCCAGGGGTAACCCGTTGCCTATGCCCTGTGGTGGGAGGAACGGGAGGGAGGGATTTGAAGGCGCATGGAAAAGAATAGAACACCGCCCGCCAGCACAGGTCAAGGGGTTGACCCCGAACGTGCTGAAGTGCAACTGCTGGGCCATCACTGCTGCTATCTCCGGCGTGGTTACCACCGCTGCCAGGGGTAACCCGTTGCCTATGCCCTGTGGTGGGTGGGAGTGGGAGCGGTGGGAAGTAGAGTTTGGGTTGGTGGGGAGGACCTTGAAGGTAGCGGAAGGAACAATCACCGCCTCAAGGACGCCAGCGCAGCTCACAGGGTGAAGTGCTGCGAGGTGACTTTTGAGTTGACTCAAGAGTGACCTTGGAGGCAGCTGAAAGAACAATCACTGCCTGGATGGCAGCGCAGCTCACACGACCAAGTGCCGCCGCCGCAACGTCAGTGCTGCGATCTCTGGCGTGGTTACCGCCGCCTGCAAGGATCTATCCCTGTACATGGTCATGCACATGCACATGCACATGACCTACATCACCGCCTGCAAGGATCTATACCCTGTGGTGGTTGGGAGTGGAGGGGGGTGGCGGATGGATTGTCAGGATAGAACACATATAGAAAGTATCAATGCTGTAACCGTGACATGGTTACAAATCGTTGAACGAGGGAACCCGCGGCTGGGTCTTAAAGTAGGATGGGAAAGTGCAGGAGGGGATATGGAGAAGAAGAAGAGAAAGAAACGGAGGAAGGATGATGGAAAAGGAAAGAGGACCAGGAAGGAGGGAGGAACGACATAAAAGCTTCACTCAAGACATAATGACATAGCTGCAGGACATCATGACGTTAGACCAACACACCATAGCCTCACACCTCGTGCACTTTCCATTTCCACCAACACGATTGACCAAGTACTTTGCGTTGCCCTGCCCATATCCACATGCCCTGCCCATATCCACGTGCCCTGCCCATATCCACGTGCCCTGCCCATATCCACGTGCCCTGCCCATATCCACGTGCCCTGCCCATATCCACATGCCCTGCCCATATCCACGTGCCCTGCCCATATCCACGTGCCCTGCCCATATCCACATGCCCTGCCCATATCCACGTGCCCTGCCCATATCCACGTGCCCTGCCCATATCCACGTGCCCTGCCCATATCCACGTGCCCTGCCCATATCCACGTGCCCTGCCCATATCCACGTGCCCTGCCCATATCCACGTGCCCTGCCCATATCCACGTGCCCTGCCCATATCCACGTGCCCTGCCCATATCCACGTGCCCTGCCCATATCCACATGCCCTGCCCATATCCACGTGCCCTGCCATATCCACGTGCCCTGCCCATATCCACGTGCCCTGCCCATATCCACATGCCCTGCCCATATCCACGTGCCCTGCCATATCCACGTGCCCTGCCCATATCCACGTGCCCTGCCCATATCCACGTGCCCTGCCCCATATCCACGTGCCTTGATACTCTTATCAAATCAACTCATACCGTGGCCATGTCAGGCATGACCCCCTGCGCTCAACCCCAGTCTGCTCTGCACCTCGTGCGCTCAAACCCCATGTGCTCCTCGCCACACCCACGCACCTGTATACTCTGATCTCATACCTTGGCCATGGTGACAATGCCACGAGTGACCCCCTGTGTCTCGAACCCCCAGTAGTGCCACCCTGTGCGCCCAAACCCCCTCTGCCCCTCGTCTCCCAAACCCCCTGTTCGCCCCTCATGCGCCCACCCCCCGGAGCAATGCATACCTTGGCCATAGTAACAATGTCGGGAGTGACCCCCTGTGTCTCGAACCCCCAGTAGTGCCACCCTGTGCGCCCAAACCCCCTCTGCCCCTCGTCTCCCAAACCCCCTGTTCGCCCCTCATGCGCCCACCCCCCGGAGCAATGCATACCTTGGCCATAGTAACAATGTCGGGAGTGACCCCCTGTGTCTCGAACCCCCAGTAGTGCCACCCCGTGCGCCCAAACCCCGTCTGCACCTCGTCCGCTATGCACACGCCCCCCGCCGCCCGGATCGACTCGTACACCAATGGCAGGTAGCCACGTGTCAGAGGCACTGTGCCGCCCACCCCCTGGATGGTCTCGGCGATGAAGCCGGCCACGCGGCCTGATGTGGACGAGCGGATAAGGTCGTCCACGTCAGCAGCGTACTTTGCAGCGTCAGCACCAAATACGCCCCTGTAAGGGTCGGGGTTGAGTGCGTGGTGAATGCCAAAGCCCTGGCGGGGGGAAGGAAACAGGAGGGGAGAGGGTAGGGGGGGATAGGGAGCGGGAACAGGGGAGGAATCCAACGACGCTGTGAGCATTAAATACCTTCCTGTATGTGTCAGAATTGAGTGCAATACATGCCAGAGCCCAGAGCGGTAAGAAACTGGAAGCGAGAGGTTGGGGAGGAAAGGGGCAGAAGAGACGCCCCAACGGTAACGGGGAGCCCATGAGACATTGCCAACACCGAGGAGGGGCGCAACAGGTGGGGACGGAACAAGGGGAAAGATGGAAGTGGGAAGGGAGAAGTAAAAGAGGAGTGGAGGAGGGGATGGAGTGGTGTGGGCTGTGAGGGTGATGGAGCAGGGGACATGCCACGTGGTGCTGAATGTGCAGAGCAGCAGCATCCTACTTGCCTGGGGCCATCCATCAACAATGCCACTCCAACCCAACCACATGCCATGTGTCATGCCACCACCAATTCAACAAACCCCTCCCCTCACCCCCTCGCCAGGTGCTCACCTGGCGGACGTTGAACTTCCACGTGCTGTGTGCTGTGTGAGTCCCATGGTGGCGGGGGACATGCCGTGCTGTGCACTGTGCACTGTGCACTGTGCACTGTGCACTGTGCACTGTGCCCTGTGCCAAGACACAGCTTCACTCCAACCTTGAGAAATGTGAGTAGCAAAGCAACTGTACGAGAACCACGTGCTGTGGCCGGGACTCACCTGAGGAACGTTGAACTTCCACGTGCTGTGGGCGGTGAGCCCCATGGTAGCAGGGGACATGCCGTGGTACGCGTTGCGCAGAGCAACCACGTCGTAGTTGCCCGTGTACAGCCGCGCCATGGTGAGTGCCATGTCGTTCGCCTCTGAGCCTGAATTCACAAAGTACACATTCTGGTACGGGCGAACAGGGGCAGAGGACGAGCGGACGAGGAGGGGTGAAGGGGAGAGGGAGAATGGGGATGAGGGGAGGGCAGGCAGGCAGGTGTCAGTGGCCAGATGCGCCATGTGATGCGCCATGTGATGCGCCATGTGATTCGCCATGTGATTCGCCATGTGATTCGCCTCCGAGCCTAAGTTCACCACATACACATTCTGCCCAGCAGAGCAGCCCAGCAGCCCAGCAGCCCTGAGTGACCATGAATGAGGTCAGCAGGCATCTTAGCAGCGGAATCCTCGTCGTGTGCTGCGCAGTGCATGTACCCACTACCTCACCTCACCACCACGCTATGCCGCCATGCCGCCATGCTGCCATGCTGCCATGCACGCACCTTGAGGTCACCGGGCATCTTAGCAGCGAGATCCTCTGCATATTCCGTGATCTGGTGGTTCGGGTAGATGCTCGTCGTGTGCTGCACAGTGCGTGCCTGCACCATCTCACCATCTCACCATCTCACCATCTCACCATCTCACCATCTCATCATCTCACCATCTCACCATCTCACCATCTCATCATCTCACCATCTCACCATCTCACCATCTCACCATCTCACCATCTCACCATCTCACCATCTCACCATCTCACCATCTCACCATCTCACCATCTCATCATCTCACCATCTCACCATCTCATCATCTCACCATCTCACCATCTCATCATCTCACCATCTCACCATCTCACCATCTCACCATCTCACCATCTCACCATCTCATCATCTCACCATCTCACCATCTCATCATCTCACCATCTCACCATCTCACCATCTCATCATCTCACCATCTCACCATCTCACCATCTCACCATCTCATCATCTCACCATCTCACCATCTCACCATAACACCTGCAGCACGGACTGACCTTGAGGTCGCTGGGCATCTTGGCAGCGAGCTCCTCCGCGTATTCGGCGATCTGGTGGTTGAGGTAGATGCTCGTCGTGTGCTGCAGCAGCGCGTTCTGCCGCGCCACCGCCGCCACGAACGCCGGGTGGCAGTGCCCCACCGACACCGTCACTATGCCCGCGAATGCATCCAAATACCGCCGCCCGTCCTCGTCGAACAGGTACTGCATGCGCCCCTCCACCACGTGTAGCTGGGGGGGTGGAGGGCACAGGGAAACGGGATCATGGGGGGGAGATAAGAGGGGAGAGAGGGGGAGGCGGGGGCCTTTGGGTGGGCTGGCGCATGTGCGGCAGTGTGTAGCCGTCCTCGTCGTACAGGTGCTGCATGCGCCCCTCTACCACGTGCAGCTGGCACGGGGAAGGAGGGGTGGGGGGTTTGGGTGGGTGGAGGGGGAATACGGGGGAGGGTGGTGGAGGGAGGGGGGGTGTCAGACTGGCTAGTATGTGCGTCCTGGAGGCACCGCAGCCGTCCTCGACTTAGTAGAGGCTCTGCGGTCACCTCACCGGCACGTGTTGCTGACAAGGAAAGGGGGGAAGAGGGGGGTAGCGGGGGAAGGGCTGCGTGGAGGGGAATACGGGGGAGGGGGATGGAAGGGGAGAGGGGAGGGGGGGATTTCAGACAACCTGCAGGCGTGCTCGAGGACGAAAGTGCTGAAAGGTCACCTCGAAATAAGGCAGTGGGTGGTGTTGGCCTGCCGTATGCGCAACATTTCCTGGAACCTTCCTCGCAGCTGCGATGCCACATCGCCACGTGCCCCGTAGCTCATTAGGCGAGACACCAAAAGCGAAGAATACGGTGGGAAGGCGATGCGGCGGGTGGAAACACGCGAGGAGGCGCAGCAGAGAAATAGAGATGGCGATGTGACTAAACTTTCGGATGAAAAGAATATAAGCCGTACCGGTTTCTTGTAGTAGGCGAAAATGGTCGGGTTGAGGAACTGGCGTCGCTTCTTCAGCACCTCCTCCGCGCGCGGCCCCGTGTACGGCGCCGGCACGTGGTCGAACGCCGGCATCTGCGGGACCGCGCGGCTCGAAGAACTCGGGCTTGCGCCGCCCGCCGCGGGATCCGGCGCGCTTGCGCTGGTGGAGAGGGAAGCCGCCGCTGGGAGATGCACACATGGCGCTGACGGTGTGACGGGCTGCGACGCGGCTAGCGAATCGGTTGCGGAATTAAAGATTGAATTGGGCGATGAAAGGGTTGCACAGAGCCTGGCGGCGAGGAGTCGGGCATGGTGGCGTTGACTCGAGAGGACGGTGGCAGCCATAGTCGCAATCAATAATATCCGTTGCGAACTGATTTGAGTGTCCTTCCGGGTATTTGATGGGAATCAAGTTGAGCGCTTTTACGGGCAGGGTAAGACTGTCGACGCAGAGAGCTTTCTATCAACGCCGAATTCTCGCAACAAGCGGCAGGAGCGCTGCCGAATGTCCAGTCGCTGCAAGATACCACCACAAGCACAAAGCTTTTCACTGGCACCGAAGGGAGGGAAATGTGTGAACTACGGTAAGTGTTGTGCGACCCATCCAAATTGTACTACTGAGTCCTGACCTCACTCCAAAAGACGAGGTTGGGGAGGGTGCAATGGGAGTAAGGAGGGATTACAATACGGTGCCGTAAGCAATCGGTGCAATATAACACGGTATAGAACGCTATCTATGTCAGATATGTTCAAGCCCAACTAGGAGGCAATTCCATGAGCCACGTCAGCCAAAGCAAGCGAATGGGCGAAGTGAATGCGGTCCGGCTCCTCTGTTCATCTGATTGGAGGTGTATGAAACAGCCAACTGATTTGCAGAGATGATAGCGTGGATGCCACACAAGCTGACGAGGCCGAATCACGCGAATGCCAGTTTCGACGAATGGACACGCTGCAGCTGGGCATTGGACAGTGGGCAACAAGTGTGTTGTGTGTGAAGTCAAGTAAGCATGCTTATGAGTTAGCATGCTTCCGCACACCTTGTCCGAAGACATGTACGCAGCTCATTAAGGCCCGAGTACAGCAGGTATTCTTCAAGTTCAAGATTCTTGAACTTGAAGTCGCAGAAAACAGGGTAACCCGTTTTGGTTTGAAAAAATTATCGCTACCCAGGGACAAGCTCCTGCGACAGTCACTCCTGATTGGTTTCTGTGACCTGTCGCACAACAGATCAGCCCATCGCCCACAAGGTTGCCTCATCTCCTCTCACATATCTTGAAGGCCAAGTAGTACTAGTAAAAGCGCGGCTGGACGATAAAAGCTAGCTCAAGTAGAATCGTTTTTCTCTGCCCAACACTAGTCACTCCCGCTGTCTGGCCACGCACAAATTCATGCCAAACACACTAAAACCGTACCATTTTCGCATGCCAGACACGGATCCGTTCTAGCGCACGGCACGCGCAATGCTCGTAAATGGCATTCCCGAGTCGCAACTGGCGATCCCGCTTACATTCCCTCCCGTCGTTTGATCCCTACCATCACTGCTCACTCGTCCCTCCTTACCTGCCGCCCTTGCTTCCTCTCTTGTCGTTCATGTTCGTTGCCCGTCGTCCCTCTCCATCACCCTCGTGTCTCCTTCCTTTGGGCCACGCTAGGTCCATACTTTGCCTTTCCCGTCACCCTCGTCTCCCCTGACCGTAACCCCCCTTTAAAAAGCGTTATGTTTCGCATCAATCTCGGCGTTTTTTTTATACATATATATATTACTCGCCCGTAATTCCCCGCTTCGCCCGTGATTCCATTATCCCCCTTCTCTCCCTCGCTTACGTTCGTCGCCCGCAATTCTCCACGCCGCCCGCGATTCCCCACGCCGCCCGCGATTCCCCACGCCGCCCGCGATTCCCCACGCCGCCCGCGATTCCCCACGCCGACCGCGATTCCCCACGCCGCTCGCGATTACCCACGCCGCCCGTGACTCCCGCCGCCGCGATTCCCCGCGTTGCCGTCGCTCTCGTTTCCCCCCGACGCCCGGCTTTCCCACCACGCACCACACGCCTTCCCCCCTACATACACCACCCACCTTCCTCTCCCCACACCACCTGCCTTCCCCCACACACAGCACCGACCTTCCCCCCCCCCGCACCACCTGCCTTCCCCCACAAACAGCACCGACCTTCCTCCCCCCGCACCACCTGCCTTCCCCCACACACAGCACCGACCTTCCTCCCCCCGCACCACCTCCCTTCCCCCACGCACAGCACCGACCTTCTTCCCCCCGCACCACCTGCCTTCCCCCACGCATAGCACCGACCTTCCTCCCCCCGCACCACCTGCCTTCCCCCACGCACAGCACCGACCTTCCTCCCCCCGCACCACCTGCCTTCCCCCACGCACAGCACCGACCTTCCTCCCCCCGCACCACCTACCTTCCCCCACACACAGCACCGACCTTCCTCCCCCCGCACCATCTGCCTTCCCCCAACACCACACGCCCTCGTGTTCATCCTCATACCCACCCTCTTCCCCCCCTCATACCCTTCCGCGCCTCATCCTCTTGCGCGCCTCATCCTCTTCCGCGCCTCATCCTCTTCCGTGCCTCATCCTCTTCCGCGCCTCATCCTCTTCCGCGCCTCATCCTCTTCCGCGCCTCATCCTCTTCCGCGCCTCATCCCCTTCCGCGCCTCATCCCCTTCCGCGCCTTATTCCGCTCTGTACATGAGCAGCGCACGCCTGCGTGATGAGGAGGGGCAGTGCGCCAATGCGCCTGCTGCAGATCACGTCACAAGCGGAGCCTCTCTCCCGTCGCGCGCCAAGCCGCCGATTTTCTTTCCCTTATTTCCTCCTTCCACCCCCAGTATCTGCCCCCTCGCCGGCCTCGCGTTGCGTCTGCCGTAAATTGCGCCAGCAGACAGCTCTCCCATCGCGCGATCAGAACTGATTTCCCCCGCCGACGCAGTTTCCCCTCCCTCTCCGCCTTTGGAGAGCGCAGAGCGCACGGGGCAGAGCGCAGGGGGCAGAACGCAGAGCGCACGGGGCAGAGCGCAGGGGGCAGAACGCAGAGCGCACGGGGCAGAGCGCAGGGGGCAGAACGCAGAGCGCACGGGGCAGAGCGCAGGGTGCAGGGGCGCGGAGCACTCGTACCTGTCCTGGCGTGGTGGTGCCTCATTCCAGCGCCCTCTCCATGGTTGCTCTTCCCTGCACGTCTAGCACCATTTCCCCCACCACTAGGGGCGCGCCCAACCCCTCAAAAACAGAGCAAGGCGCGGGAGAAACCGCGGTGGGAGGAACGGCGAGCGGAGGCGCGGAGAGGCGAGCGGCGCGGCGAGGCGAGCGGAGGCGCAACGAGGGGGGGCTTCCAGAAACGAGGGGAGGCATGACGACAAGAGGCAAGGCACGAGAGAATGCGCGGCGAAAGGATGGGTGGCGCGACGGGAGGTGGCACGATGGGCGGAGGAACGCGACGATGGGAAGCGCGACGATTGGAGGAGCTCGAGGGAAGGGGAGGCGCGTCCTATGAGCCACCCGGGGAGGTGCGTGGGCAGGTATGGTGAAGTGGCTTCACTCACCCTCGCCCCCCCACAGTGACTTCGTGTATGCGCTTGAAGAGTCCCTATATCCTGCCTATTTTATGCTGCGCTGCGCTACCAGAGTAGGTGGAGTAATTAGTTTGATTGAAGTAGTTAGCTTGGTTGAAGTAGTAGATTAATCGTGGTGTTTTTTCTCCTCACTCGTTCTGAGGTTGTTGGAGCTTACCGTGCGATCCGTGCGACACTCCTTCCTGATGCCCGACGCTGTTATGCAAATTTATCAAAGCTGCACAGTATCGTTTACCATCGCTTCACGTTTGGCGATGTTACGAATAGTAATACTTGAATATTACTGTGCACTCCTCTCCGCACCAAAGAGAAGCACGCAGTATCGCGAATGAACGCGAAGCGTCACACGGTTGGAACGCACCTGAACCGTCGGAGCAGACAGCATCAGGCAGCTGCAGGCAGCATGGTTTTGGCGGGAACAGTTTCGTAACTGTTCGTGAGAAGAATTGAACGAGAAATAAATGAACTATGAAAGAAGTGAGTACATATAGGAAACCCTAATTGGGTTGTACCCCCTATGGGATACCCCACTATAGCCTACACAACAGCATAAGCTATGATGTTCTGACACACCCCCATAGGCAAAGTGGGGGAGAACAAGGGGTCATAAGACCAGTCAAGCAAAGCAAAGCAAAGCTCAGGGTGGATCACAAAGTCACCACACAGTCCGAGCACAAGGTCAAGGCCACAAGGCCAGTTCACATGCAGGAGGAGACATATATATATAAGGCTAAACAAGCAAGAGCAGGAATAATATATATGCAAGAGTACAAGCAAGGTCAAGAGGTGAGTAAGTGAGGCAAGACTGGGACAAGTCCCAGCTGAGAGCAGAAGCGCTGATGATCACAAGGCGGAAGTGCCTTGGTGAAAACATCAGCAGTGTTGGCCTCAGAGGCCACGTACGCAAGTCGCAACTGACCACGCTGCTGCAGCTCACGAGCAAGAAATTAGCGGAGAGAAATGTGCTTCGTTTTGTGCTCCAGGCGCTGCTCTCGACACAAGGCCAGCATGGCCTTGTTGTCTACGTACAGCACTGGAGGAGAACGAGGCGGCTCTCCAAGGTCAGTCAGCACGTAGGTGAGCCAGCGAAGCTCCTGAGCAGCCATGGCCCCGGCGTAGATCTCAGCCTCACAACTGGAGCCGAGAACAGAAGACGAGCGAGTAGCCCGCCACGAGACAGAGCCGGAACCAAGACTGAAGGTGTAACCCTGCGAAGACCGCTGCGTAGCCTGGTCGTCAGCCCAAGAAGCGTCCGCGTGCCCAGTGAGGACCACTGGACTCCGCCCTCCAAGCACTAGCCCCATGCCCGTCGTACTGCACAAGTAGCGCAACACCCTCTTTGCTACAGCCATATGCTCTAGTCGGTGTCTCCCAGGAGCAACATAGCGTGCAAGAATGCTAAGAGGGTATGCAAGGTCAGGTCGTGTGCAGGTCATCAGGTACATGAGGCAGCCAACAAGCTCTGGGTACGGGCCACTCGACTCTACAGACTCATCCGAAGGCAGAGCTGGGAGCGAGTGGTGAGTAGACAGAGGAGTGGCTTGAGGCGAGGAGTACGTGAAGCCGAAGCGCTGAAGGACCTGCTGCACCATGTGTGACTGAGTCAAGGTAATGGTGCGGCGTGCTCTGTCCCGGGTGATCTGCAAGCCAAGGTAGCTGCGCAGTTCACCCACGTCCATGCACGTGTGTCTCTTCTGCAGCTCGGACTTCACGTGGGCGAGTCCAGCAGTGTCAGCTGTGGCAAAGACCAAGTCGTCGACGTACACGAGGATGTAGAACGGCGGCAAAGAGGTGTCGGTGCGCAGAAACAACGACGGGTCAGCAGTAGAGGGAGCAAACCCAAGAGCCGCAAGCGTGGTCCTCAATGTGTCATGCCACTCACGAGGTGCTTGGCGGAGACCGTAGACTGGCCGTCGGAGGCTCCACTGGGTGCCAGGAGGGAAAGTCCCAGTGAAGCCAGGTGGACGGCGCAGCCAGATCTCCTCGTGCAGGCTGCCCTGCAAGAAAGCAGTGCTGAAGTCAAGAGAGTGAAGCTCGTAGTCGCGCTGAGCGGCTATGTGCAGCAGCACCCGAAGAGTGGTCATCTTCGGGGTGTGAGAGAAGGTCTGAAAGTAGTCAACTCCCTGCCGCTGACTGAAGCCACGAGCCACGTACCGCGCCTTGAAGACAGGTGGAGAGCCAGGCGGCCGCTTCACCCTGAAGATCCACATGCCACTGACGATGTTCGCCCCAGGAGGGGGAACGTAGGTGCCTGTGGACTTCCAAGAAGCCATCTCTGCATCCATAGCTGCCTGCCACTGAGATGAGTAGGGACCCTCTACGGCCTCCGCGTAAGAACGCGGAGTCGGGATGTCTAGTGCATCCGGGTCTCCCTCAGGGGCAAGCAGTACGGACGCGAGATGAGGTGAAGCAGCAGCCAGACACTGGAACTCCTCCTGCCTGTCCTCAAGGACGTCCGTGCCAAGAGCACACTCACCCCCGACGGACGGAGGACAGACAGACGCAGACTCAGCAACGAGACTAGCAGCGTAGTATAGACGACAGCGAGCAGCAAAGTCGACGAGCTCAGCAACAAGAGCAGACGCAGCAGTGGACTCAAAAGAGGGGTCAGTGACGACAGTAGCAAGGAGACGCTTGACAGTAGGACTGGCAGCACGAAGAGAGTCCGACTCCGGGTCGGCAAGAGCAGGAAGAGAGGACTCAGGAGGAGAAGGCAAAGGGGCACGAAGAGGAGCAGTGGACGGACACAGAGACATCCGGTGCGTGCCAGGGACAGGAGGAGGACGCTGACGCGAACCGCGACCACTAGCGCGAGCAGCACGAACAGGCGACGCGGGACGAGACGCAGGCTCACGACGCTCAGCAAGGCCTCCAGTGGGACCAGTGTAAGGAGAGGGAGCAGGCAGTGGGGAGGCGGGCGCTAACTGTGACTGAGACTGGACAGGCGGTGGACACTCTACAGGAGGACAAGTACCAAGAACCTGCTGAAGGAGCGGAACGAAGTACGGCCGAGGCCGTGCGGCACCTCCAGAAACAGCAGGGACAGCACTAGCACCCCAAGCGGCAGCACCAGCGCCAACAACACCTCTAGCTGCAGGACCTCCAGCAGCACCAGTAGCACCCGCAGCAGGACCACCGCCAGGACTGACAGCAGTAGTCTCAGCGCCAACACCCTCAGCACCTCCAGCCGGACTCGCAAGTCCAGCAGCTCTAGCACTCCCAGGACGAGCAGCAGCTCCGGGACCGGCGGCACCAGCACCCTCAGCGGCCGAAGAAGCTCCAGCTCCAGCAGTACGCCTCCAGCGGCGAGCAAACCACTCGCGCAGCTCCTGTGGAGAGAGTGGCTCCCTCCGAGATGGAGCACCCGGAGAACCTCCAGGCCCTGCACCGCCAGACGGCACAAGGGGAGGTCCAGCGGCGGCAGGCTCCGCACCTCCAGGCTCACCAGCTCCAGACGCAGCACCCCCAGGCTCAGCAGCTCCTGACGTAGCACCCCCAGACTCAGCACCCTCACGTTCAGCACCACAAGTGGCAGTACCCCCAGGCTCAGCACCCCCAGATGCAGCACCCCCAGGCTCAGCACCCACGCACACGGCACCCCCAGAGTCAGCACCCCCAGGCTCAGCACCCGCAGCAGTACCAGAGTCACCAGCAACCTCGACCGGCTCGACTGCGTCAACCTGGGACACACCTGAAGGGGCAGGACCCTGAGGGGGGAGGGGGTCTACCGGGGGGGGACCTGGCACAAGGAAGTGTGGCGGCGGGGGGAGGGAAGGAGTGCGGTAGGGGAAGAGACGGTAGAAGGGGACTGACTCGTGGAACGTGACGTCCTGGGAGGACAGAACACGACGAGAGGAGGGGTGGTAGAACTGCCACCCTGGAGCGTCAGGGGGGAAGCCAAGGAAGACACAGGGAGCAGCACGAGGGGACAACTTGTCCGCAGACAAGTCACGGACAAACGCCCGAGATCCCCAGACACGGAACACAGACGCATCACCGACCTTCCCAGTCCACAGCAGAGCTGGGGAGGTACGGACCTTCCCCGGCCGGGAAACCCCGGGGTGAAGGTTGATCTGATGCGCCGCGTACCGAACCGCAAACGGCCACAGAAAATGGGAGGCAGCCGCATGCATCATGGACGTACGAGCGACGTCCATGATCATGCCAATGCGGCGCTCAGCAATCCCATTTTGCTGTGGAGAGTCCGGAAGCGTAAAGGTCTGGCGGATGCCTCGCGCACGACAGTAGGCTCGCAGAAGGTCGGAGGAGAACTCTCCGCCTCAGTCAGAGTGCAGACGC